AATTGCAAAACCATTAGCCAGACTCATCAAGAAAAAAAGGGAGAAGACTCAAATCAATAGAATTAGAAATGAAAAAGGAGAAGTAACAACTGACACTGCAGAAATACAAAGGATCATGAGAGATTACTACAAGCAATTATATGGCAATAAAATGGACAACCTGGAAGAAATGAACAAATTCTTAGAAATGCACAACCTTCCGAGACTGAACCAGGAAGAAATAGAAAATATGAGCAGACCAATCACAAGCACTGAAATTGAAGCTGTGGTTAAAAATCTTCCAACAAATAAAAGCCCAGGACCAGATGGCTTCACTGGCGAATTCTATCAAACATTTAGAGAAGAGCTAACACCTATCCTTCTCAAACTCTTCCAAAATATAGCAGAGGGAGGAACACTCCCAAACTCATTCTACGAGGTCACCATCACCCTGATACCAAAACCAGACAAAGAAGTCACAAAGAAAGAAAACTATAGGCCAAAATCACTGATAAACATAGATGCAAAAATCCTCAACAAAATACTAGCAAACAGAATCCAACAGCACATTAAAAGGATCATACACCATGATAAAGTGGGGTTTATCCCAGGAATGCAAGGATTCTTCAATATATGCAAATCAATCAATGTGATACACCATATTAACAAATTGAAGGAGAAAAACCATATGGTCATCTCAATAGATGCAGAGAAAGCTTTCGACAAAATTCAACACCCATTTATGATAAAAACCCTCCAAAAGTAGGCATAGAGGGAACTTACCTCAATGTAATAAAGGCCATATATGACAAGCCAACATCGTCCTCAATGGTGAAAAACTGAAACCATTTCCAGTAAGATCAGGAACAAGACAAGGTTGCCCACTCTCACCACTATTATTCAACATAGTTTTGGAAGTTTTAGCCACAGCAATTAGAGAAGAAAAAGAAATAAAAGGATTCCAAATCGGAAAAGAAAAAGTAAAGCTGTCACTGTTTGCAGATGACATGATACTATATATAGAGAATCCTAAAGATGCCACCAGAAAACTACTAGAGCTAATCAATGAATTTGGTAAAGTTGCAGGATACAAATTTATGCACAGAAATCTCTGGCATTCCTATACACTAATGATGAAAAATCTGAAAGTGAAATTAAGAAAATACTCCCATTTACCACTGCAACAAAAAGAATAAAATATCTAGGAATAAACCTACCTAAGGAGACAAAAGCCCTGTATGCAGAAAATTATAAGACACTGATGAAAGAAATTAAAGATGATACAAATAGATGGAGAGATATACCATGTTCTTGGATTGGAAGAATCAACATTGTGAAAATTACTACCCAAAGCAATCTACAGATTGAATGCAATCCCTATCAAACTACCACTGGCATTTTTTACAGAACTAGAACAAAAAATCTCACAATTTGTGTGGAAACACAAAAGGCCCCAAATAGCCAAAGCAATCTTCAGAAAGAAAAACGGAGCTGGAGGAATCAGGCTCCCTGGCTTCAGACTATACTACAAAGCTACAGTAATCAAGACAGTATGATACTGGCACAAAAACAGAAATATGGATCAATGGAACAGGATGGAAAGCCCAGAGATAAACCCACACACATATGGTCACCTTATTGTTTTGTGTTTTGTTTTTGTTTTGGCGGTACGTGGGCCTCTCACCATTGTGGCCTCTCCCACTGCGGAGCACAGGCTCCGGACGCGCAGGCTCAGCGGCCATGGCTCACGGGCCCAGCCGCTCTGGCATGTGGGATCTTCCCGGACCGGGGCATGAACCCGTGTCCCCTGCATCGGCAGGTGGACTCTCAACCACTGCGCCACCAGGGAAGCCCAGTCACCTTATTTTTGATAAAGGTGGCAAGAATATACAATGGAGAAAAGACAGCCTCTTCAATAAGTGGTTCTGGGAAAACTGGACAGCTATATGTAAAATAATGATATTAGAACCCTCCCTAACACCATACAAAAAAATAAAATGGATTAAAGACCTAAATGTAAGGCTAGACACTATTTAACTCTTAGAGGAAAACATAGGCAGAACACTTCATGATATAAATCACAGCAAGATCCTTTTTGACCCACCTCCTAGAGAAATGGAAATAAAAACAAAAATAAACAAATTGGACCTAATGAAACTTCAAAGCTTTTGCACAGCATAGGAACCCAGAAACAAGACGAAAAGACAACCCTCAGAATGGGAGAAAATATTTGCAAATGAAGCAACTGACAAAGGATTAATCTCCAACATTTACAAGCAGCTCATGCAGCTCAATATCAAAAAAACAACCCAATCCAAAAATGGGCAGAAGACCTAAATAGACATTTCTCCAAAGAAGATATACAGATTGCCTACAAACACATGAAAGAATGCTCAACATCATTAATCGTTAGAGAAATGCAAATCAAAACTACAATGAGATATCGTTTCACACTCGTCAGAGTGGCCATCATCAAAATATCTACAAACAATAAGTGCTGGAGAGGGTGTGGAGAAAAGGGAACCCTTTTGCACTGTTGGTGGGAATGTAAATTGATACAGCCACTATGGAGAACAGTATGGATGTTCCTTAAAAAACTAAAAATAGAACTACCATACGACCCAGCAATCCTACTACTGGGCATATACCGTGAGAAAACCATAATTCAAAAAGAGTCATGTACCACAGTGTTCACTGCAGCTGTGTTTACTATAGCCAGGACATGGAAGCAACCTACGTGTCCATCAACAGATTAATGGATAAAAAAGATGTGGCACATACATACAATGGAATATTACTCAGCCACAAAAAGAAACAAAACTGAGTTATTTGTAGTGAGGTGGATGGACCTAGAGTCTGTCATACAGAGTGAAGTTAAGTCAGAAAGAGAAAAACAAATACCATATGCTAACACATATATATGGAATCTAAGAAAAAAACAAAAAATGGTCATGAAGAACCTAGGGGCAAGATGGGAATAAAGACGCAGACCTACTAGAGAATGGACTTGAGGATGTGGGGAGGGGGAAGGGTAAGCTGGGACAAAGTGAGAGAGTGGCATGGACATATATATACTACCAAATGTAAAACAGCTAGTGAGAAGCAGCCGCATAGCACAGGGAAATCATCTGGGTGCTTTGTGACCACCTAGGGGGGTGGGATAGGGAGGGTGGGAGGGAGGGAGACGCAAGAGGGAAGAGATATGGAGATATATGTATATGTATAACTGAATCACTTTGTTATAAAGCAGAAACTAATACACCACTGTAAAGCACTTATACTCCAACAAAGTTGTTAAAAAAAAAAAAAAGGTAAAGCAGTATTGAAAGTCAGAAGTTTAATACAAAGAGATAGAATGCTTAGAGACCTGTTAATAATACTGAAAATAAGCTGGAAAAATTGTAGAGCTGTGCAACTAAAGTGCCGGGAAAAACAGCCGAACGAGCAGTGCTGTCCAGTGTTCCACAGGCTAGGCGTGCATACCAGTCATCTCTACTGGTGAGGGCTGCCATTAACTTTCACATTAGACTTCATGAACTAAATGCTCAAGGTCAGTCAGTGTATTGGGTTCTATGCTTACACAAAGTGAGAAATATTCAATGACTGCTATCTATTTGATAACACAACAAACAGTGTATTCTCAGGATTTTCAATAGTTACTGGAATACACAATAGTGTATTCTCAGGATTTTCAATAGTTCACTTCTCCTTTCTCTGGTACTGTTTGCCACCTCACTATCATGAAGGAAGCAGCTTTGTGAGAAGAATCCAGTACACACAAAGTAAGGCAGAGTAGAAAGACTGAAAAGCCAGAGGTCTGATCCAACTACATCTAAAGGCCAAGCTTCCCATACTGTAAAGGGAGGGGAAAAGAATCCTATGAAATCCTACCTTGCCCAAACTTTTTTTGCTTTTTTTTTTGGGGGGGGGGGGAACAGCTGTTTTTAGGAGATATTAAGAAGGGTTTGAGAGAAAAAAAGGGAGAGTATCAAGGTCCAATGAATTCATGAAATACTGCATATTATACTCCCCTCTTGGTGATTCACAATACAAACACTGGCTAAAACTCCAGAATGCCCCTCTGTAAGGAAAATTATTTGTTCAATTCAGCATTTCCCAAACCTATCTGACCATTTAAAAAATGAACTGTTAAAATCACTAATGTGATCTCCTAAACACAGTTTGGAAAAAAAGATATGACAAGCTTTTATGCTCCACAGGTACTTCTCTTGAAGCCTTCCCACTTAAATAGGATAAACTAGGGTTGCCTAGTAGAAATGCCATCCTGCAGCATAAGTTGTTAAAAAAATTTGTTTTAATTGCCTGCGTTTTATTCATCATAGCAATAGGTAATAAAAGTGCTAAATATATCTAAAAACACTCTAGAATGGATTATTGATAATTCTGATGGTGAAATACAAAGAAAGGCCCTTATTACAAAAAACTAGATGTAATCAAGAGCTGAATTTGCCTTGTGCTGTTCAGGATTTACCTTTAGTTTATACGATTATTTTATTTTTTTAAAAACGCTAACATTAAGAAAAAATGTTTTTATTTCAAATCTGAAATACTCCTCTTTCCTATTGAAATAATTGTTTTTATACTATAGTTGTCTCTCAATGTCAAGTTTCTTAGGAATCAAGTTAATAGTACAACTGAGTGTATCTACTACCATCAGATGCACTGAGTTAACCAAGAATGATAAAATAGGGGAAAGGAGACAAGACTCAAAGTAAGTCACTCAAAAGAGTGGTGGTAGGTGCAGGCAGGAAACACACTACATACAGATCAAGTCTTACTACAGGAGAGGCATAGATTCCAAAGGTTTCTATGTGATATAGTGGAGTAGAATTTTATGCATAGGTTAGTCTAAAATAAGTAAGGAAGACAGAAATTACCCTAGAGAGTATATGTGACATTTTCAGATTTCACAAATTGGTTTGCTATGCTTTGAAATGATCTGAACATACTATTTTTTTATTAAAACAATTCCAAAAAGAAATAGGAAACCAATTTCTTACCTGCCAAAGAGACTATCATGAACAACATAGACAGAACACACGCTGAGATCTATTAATCCTTTTGGTTTTGTAGCTCGTTTTTCACTTTCAAAATAAATAAGTTGGGCATCACTGCCCTCTAAGATAAAATATAAATTTTTCCACCTTTTTCCTTTGCCTGTTAAAAAAAATTGTTTCCCCTTAGCCAAATAATGAACTATGAAGTCACATATAGTAAAATCATAAAAATTATTGTTGCTAAAAACTAAAAATTAAATATATTTTTATTCCAAAGCTTAAATAACACCAATCCTTACAAAATGAGAAAGTGTCTGTAATATATCTGTAGAAAAATATCTTTTGTTATATTGCTTGCTTTAATGAGTCACTGAGTAAGTGACAAGGGTACCTTAACAGTATGTTTAGAGATTTCATTATGATAAAACCTTTAAAATTCTTGCTTAGGATTCATTCTTTTCCAGTCATGAGAAAAAAAACTCTTCTACTAATCATGCACCCCTCAATGCCCCAACATTTCTTAATGCCAAACTGAGGCAAATACATAAAATAGAAACATCAATACTATGAATGTGCCAAGTGCCGGTAAGAATTTTCTCTTAAAAAAAAAAAAGTTATGGGGTAAAGAGGGGCTCAAGAATCAGATACCAACTTATTAAATACGTATCTCAGATAAGTTTTATGCCCAATATTTACAATGTTTCTAATAAATGTTAACGGTAAAATACTGAAATTGAATCTTTAGTCTTAAAAGTTTCACACTTACCTTTTTTTAGAAGATAACCTTTTTTAACAATGTTTTTATAAAAGGCATCCTTTGTTTTACGACGAATTGTATTATAAATTTCCTTGCCATCCACTGTATCATTGAGTACTTGTTCTTGATCCTGAATTTTCAAAAACACTAAAATTATTTCATGAATTCTTGATGGAAATGAAGTAAAACCTACTAAACTACCAATTTAAAAACCAGATTGTCTGTCTAGACATTAAAAAAATTTTACTACTAAAATCTAAAATACTGTAACATATATATTATTAAGAGATCTTTGCTTTCCAAAGAAATTTTCAAAAAAGTGCACTTACCATTTCTCAAGAATATGGACAACTAATAAGCTTTTTTTTTGAAAAATACAGGTTTTTTTTTAAGTTTTACAAGCAACATTGTTTTGAAAACATGAATTTGTCCAAGCATAACTGATAGATTAGAACCAATTTGAGCATAAAGCAAATTCATGTTTGCTTATGGACAATTATATCCATGAGAAACTCTATGTGAATGCAGAAAATTGCACCCAGCTGAACTGAGATGCCTAGGAATATGCAAAATACATCTCAAAAGCCTAAAAGCCTCCCCAGCTTCACCGAGTGTTACACGCCATACCCATCCATTCACATCTGGTGTTCTAACATATCTGATTTCAGATAATCCTCCTTGTACCACTTCCCGCTATTTACAGCCCTTCTGATGGCCTCTTCCACAAGTAAACTTCAGGTCTTTTTCAAGGTAAAGTGCCTTATTTATTGTAATATTTAAATATTTCTTACCCATTTAGCACGTATAAAAACTACGCTACATTTTTACTAGCTTCTTATCTTTATGTGTCACTGATGAAGTTTTTGAGTGTTGTACCCTTAACCCCCTTTTTTCCATAATCCTGTGGTTTTTATTGCATGATTTCATACAACACCATGACTTACAGGAATGTATGTGTGTTAAATGCTAAATCCCTGCCCCCCTCCAAGTAACAAAAAGAATTATGATGTCAGGAAGAATACAAAGCGAAGAGTGCCTTTATAAATGACCTTCCCAAAATAAGTCAATCTTCGATATTACCATCAAGGTCCAATGGACCCAATTTTAGTTTCTTAGTTTCTTTCTTGAGCAGCTCTTACTATTTGCAAGAATTAATATTTTATGACTTTGTTTTCTTAGAGACTTATGGATCCAGCTGATCGTTTTATAAGTCTAAGATATGTTATGGGATTTTCACGAATCATATTTTTCCTATATCTTGAAACACTCTGCTATTTCATCATCGTAGGAACCATTTCATCATGACTTAACAATTATTCTCAAGTATGCCAAAGAGCAGGCACTGGCAAACCACAGCACATGGACCAAATCTAGCCTACTGCCTGTTTTTGGACATAAGGTTTTATTGGAACACAGCCACGGCTCATTCCTTTATATACTGTCTGTGGTTGCTTTCACACTACAAAGGCAGTTTAGTAACTGAGACAGAGACTGAATGGCCCACAAAACCTAAAATGTTTATTATCTGGTCCTTTACAGAAAAGTTTGCCAGCCCTTGGTCTAGAGGGTGATCCAACAGTGAAATAAATCATCTCTATTGCATCACCCTTTGGCATTTTTTACTGTGTGGCCAACTATTGTAGCATCTTTCAAAAAAGTATAAAAGGCCATCTTTGTTATATTTTTATTAGTTTTCATTGAACACATAAGAAAATTCAGAATTCTTAATTTTCTGATCATAACAGCAAAGAGAAAAAAATTGACAAAGAAAGATGTGTGACAATTATAAAAAGACTCAGATGATAAATGCAAAGAAACAGCAAGACTCTGGGATCTATTGTGATGATAAAATTGATTTTGATAAGCAAAATCTCAGATTATAATTCTTCAGATGGTAATCTCCTTTGGTGATTTTTCTCAAACTAAGAATCGCTGAGTGAATGATATATTTCTAGGGGAAAAGAAATATAGTGCTCTCATCTAGTTAGTGATTCAATAGGAAGGACATCATCATGCAATAACTTGTAACAAGTATCTAGATTATCCTGTTTCCTAAAAGGAAATGAGGATTCTTTAAATTTTTATGATTGTGCACCAAGATTTACTCAGTATGATTTATAAATGGACAAAGGTTACTAAAAGGAAACATATAATGTAGAAATTTTAAAATTCACCATATTGATCATTCTGATGTTTATAAACATAAAAATGTATTACACTTACGAAGCAATAAAGACTGTACTATCCAACAAAATTATGAACCATCAAAGTTTTCAAAAGTATTGCAGTTGATGATGCAAGAAGAGCAAGAAAGAATCATAAACTAGAACCCAGTTGAAATATATTTAAAATCTGGAATCAGTACTGCATTTTGACAGTAAAAACGTAAGAAGAACCAGAGTAATCATAAGAACTTATAAAAGATGTATCTGAAATTTGGATTTACAAGATGGATATGTTCCAAGTCCGTGCATGACAGTGGATGAGCAGTTAGCTGCCTTCTATTTCAAGTATGTAACCCTTTATAACCAAGGAAATATGGAACAAAAATGGGGTTTGCTACATTTAAATTCTTATTAAATTTTCTAATAAAGTTTTTTTGTACTAAACCTTTATTCTTACTTCTACAAATTATTCAGAAAATGACTAAGAATATAAAAAATTTGAAAAGATACATCGCACCCAGATGATAAATAGTGATGACTACCTCCCTAGTTGTATAGATTTGTGCTTACCAGTCTTTATTACAGTAGTGATAATATTTACTGTTAGGTGCAGAATGGGGCACATTTGTAGTTTATTTAAGACATATTACTACACTAACATTTGGATTTAAATATCTGATTTCAAGATAATCTATATAAGTCTTTCCTACTTATTTTAAGATAGGGGCTGATCAACTGATCTGTAACTCCTACATTAGAAGACACTACAGGCAAGGACACAACCTCACGGTCCAAGTTCTAGTAAATTACTGGATGACAGTAGGGAAGGCTTCTCAGCCTACTCTTTGTACACAGTTCTGAAGAAGGAAGTCTTATATATTACTCCCCAAGGGAAGTAGATAATCTGACGGGTGAGAGTTTAACAGCCACTGAAGCAAGCTTTTGCATAGCGGTTAGGTGTGCAGGCTCCTGTAACCAGACCTCAGTTGTAAATCCTGCCTTTGTCACGTAATGGCTAAGAAAACTCATTTAATAAATTAATTCAATAAATGTTTGTTGAGTGCCAGGTACTGTTCTAGTTCTTGAGATACATCAGTAAATAAATCAAATATCTTTACCTCCAAGGAATTTATATACCAATGAAGAAAAGAGGTAATAAACATAATAAGCAAATTGTATGTTAATAGGTGGTAAGTGCTCTACAGGGTAGGGCAAGTAGCAGCAACAAATAATGTGTACAAGTAGGTCTCAATTGTGAAGCTGATTTCTGAGCCAAATTTGAAAGAAATAACAGAGTGAGGCGAGTGGATATTTGAGGGAAAGTCATTTTGAGCAGAGTGAACAGCTGGAACAAAGATTCTAATGCCAAGATCCTGGCATATTTTTTAAAATAGCAGAGAAGCCAACGTGAGTGGAGACGAGTGAGAGAGAAGGATGGTAGAAAGCATTCAGAGGACCACTCTAGGGTTTTGCATGCCACTGCAGGGACTCTGGCTTTTACTCTGAATGAAATGTAGAATACCTGTAAGTGTTAAACAGAGGCGTGCAATGGTCTGACACATTTTAAATGGATCCCTCTGACTGCAGTGCAGTGTTAAGGGGGGGCAAAAGTAGAAACAGAGAGATGAAGCCAGATTCTGGTGATGGTTGTATTCTAGATATATTTTGAAGGCAGACAGCATGATGTTCTTGACAGTTTGGATACAGAGTGTAGGAAAGAAAAAGAAGAGTCAAGGATGACCTGATGCCTTAAGTAATTTACTCTCTGGTTCCAGTTTCCTTATCTGTAAAATGGGCATAAATACAGGATCAACCTCATCAAATTGTTTAAAAAGTTAAATAAATTAGGGCTTCCCTGGTGGCGCAGTGGTTGAGAGTCCGCCTGCCGATGCAGGGGACACGGGTTCATGCCCCGGTCCGGGAAGATCCCACATGCCACGGAGCGGCTGGGCCCGTGAGCCATGGCTGCTGAGCCTGCACGTCCGGAGCCTGTGCTCCGCAACGGGAGAGGCCACAACAGTGAGAAGCCCGCGTACCGCAAAAAAAAAAAAAAAAAGTTAAATTAATACGTATAAGAAACAGCGCCTAGAATATAGTGCTCCAAAAATGTTAGATATCAATATTTTTAGTGTGGGGTGCATTGTCTCAAAAGGCTCCTTCTTTTCCTGTAATTCGTCTGAAGTGTTAGTTCCACTAAGTTAGCACACCTAGCTAGGGACTCTGCTCTTTCTCTTCCAGCATCTTACCTGGAGTGGGAGTATGCAGGATCACCTCAGGGGGAATGAGATGATTCTGCTAGCTAATCACTTTTACATTAATAAAAGTACATTTTTAGCCTTTGGGTTCTCTAATAGTTAGAATCCTGCTAGGAAGGATAGGTAAGTGTTATGATTCTCAAACTTCTACTGTAACCTACTTTTACTCCAGGCCCAAAATAATTGACTTCAAATAGCATTTAATGGTTTTTGTGAAGTAATCAAATTGCTCTGTAATCAGCATTTGTTATTTCTGAAGTATTCAAAGCATTACAGGCATTTTTGCAGATGACAATAATCTGAGGTTTGTTCAGTTATGAAACAGTAACACAAGTAAGAATGAGGCTCACTGTATATTTGAAGTAATTCTTAAAACTATCTCATAACATAAGTATAAAGTTTAAGTTTACTAGATGTCAAATGCTATTTTTCCAACTGTAAAAAATTAAATTAGAAAATTCTAAGCATAAATTCAGGATGGGAAAAATGCATGACTTAACTTGTGGGCCAATAAAATAAAATTTGTTAAAAAAATTTGTTGACTTAGAAACAATTTAAAATCATCATTAATTCAAACAGCCAATGTGAATCAGAATTTTAAGGATATAGCAATGGGACTGAGTGGCAGGATCTGTCATTTGTAGGTAAAGGCACCTCTGATTCCTAATAAAAAGATCCTAAGCTGTGGTTTCTAGAAAGCACATACCGCACTATGTGGTTTTAAAAAAAATTGGTCAAAGTCCGCCAGAACTGCCAACAAAAGTGGTACATCATTGCTAACTACAGATACTAGGAGGGTGTCAACAAGGAAGTAAAACTTGAGATGGATCTTAAACTTGCAGGATTTAGATAGGCAGAGAGGAAGAAACTGACATGGAGACAGCAACAAACACAATAAGACACATTAGTGATAATTCAGAGGATGAAGTGAGTGCTTCCTGTTGGAAAGGAGCTATTCATTCAATTAATATTGATTGAATACCTAATGCCTAGTACTATTCTAGGCACTAGGAATACAACACAAAACACTTGCCCTCCTGAACTTTACATTCTACCAGAAAAGCATGAGGAACTGAAGCAAGATACATTAAAATGTTTCAAGATGATGATTCTTAAATTTATATTAAGCATCAGAATAATGATGACCCCCCCGCCCCCGCCTTCAGCAGCTGCAATGAATAGTAGGCTATAACCATCAGAAACTAACTTGTTCGGAGGAAGAAATATTGAGAAGCTCGAGACACTACAAATCACTGTGAAAGTTTAGTGGGGTACCCAAAACCTCTCACAATCTTTCTTTATGTCCCTAGAATATCACTACCTCCATTTTCCACATAGGAAAATTCTTAATCACTCCTTTGAAGTACCTTTTTCTAACCCCTGCTACAACCTTTTCCCACCACACTTTAGGAAGTATCATGGGCAAGAAACAGAAGCTAATCAATCACCCTATGCATTAAGCAACTAGTATTCAACAGGCCCTCTTGTTCAAGGCCTGTCTTCTTATGTTCTGGACTTCAGCCACTATTGCCTTCCCTAGGACCTTGTACGTGGGGTATTGCCATTACCCCATCCCTCACCCACCACTGTCACTCTCCTCCCGAGTACAGAGACATGCTCAAAAATTTCTCACCATAAAACTACAGGCAAATAAAACAAAGAAATAAAAAGTTTAAAGGTCTTTTGGCCCTACATCATCTTCTAGCTATCATTTTTTAATTTATTTTCTTTTCTTACCAGTCTCACCTAGATAAGCCTGGCTGTGATTTATCCTGGCTGTCTCCACTTTTGCCTCCAACAAACTCACTCCTTGACCCAGTGCAACTAGGCTTCTGTCCCCACCACTGCTTCTATTCTCAAAAAGCCACCAAGGACTTCCTAATAATTATCTAGAACCAACATAAATAAAAACTAAGAGATTCGCTTATAAGTATTCACTTTCTGAAAGAATCTGTATAATCTGCAGTTTTAAATTTTATCCAATTTCAAATGCATGGATGTGTGCATAAACATATCACCAAAAATGCATTTTAAAATAAAATGCTAATTATTGTTAAAAGAAAAACAACACTGACCTGCATTGGTACAGGTTCCTTAAGATAATACCCTTCAACAATTTGTTCTTTTCGATAGTGATCTATGATGTCCCCAATGCTGTTAAAATAAAAATTACTAACATTGACATAATTTGTCTCATAAAAATTGCAAATCTTAAAGATACACCAAACCTTGTTAGCAAGGATTCTCTATTTGCAAGTCTTTTCCAAAGTATATAACCAGAATACATTAACAGACTATATGATCATTACAGTCACATTACTTTAGAAAAACAAGAATGTTCCTACTATTGGTTTACAGATCAGAAATACTTGAGTCAGAGATTTCAATTTTCCATCAACGTACTCAAAGCACCACTATACGTGAGGAAATGATTAAAAGTCTTTTTTTTTTTTTTAAACAAAAGTATCTGAGAGACTGAGAAAGAAAAACCGACAGACAAACGGCATTTATTTTTAGCAAGTAGTGAATTCAGGTAAACTTCAAGAATTTTTATCATCAAAACATTTACATATTCTGCTTTTATATTAATCAGATGGAGTTAGGTCATGAGACATAAATAGCAGGTGAAAGCAGAAACAAATTTAAAAAAAAAAAAGGAAGAAAGAAAGACAGAAAGACCAGGAGCTAACCTTATATGTAGGATTATCACTACAGTAGGAAGGGCCTATTGATGATTTTGATAAAAAGTGCTATACAATATTCTTAATATTTGGGAAATACTACAAATAAAACAAAACTGAAAATAACATTATATAATGTATTTTAACACAAATTTTAACATGACATAATGAGTTTTTTAAATATAAAATGTTTCTCATGATCAGTTTGTCATTTTATTGTCCTGAATATGTAAATTCTAGAATTTTAAACTGTCCTTTAATACACTAGAGGAATTGGTATTTAACGACAGCTACGCAACATTTCTCAAAACAGATCTCATTAATTTACCCCTTGGTTTTTTTCATGTTCTTCCTACTGATCCAAAAATTGGAATACACACACACACATATATATTTATATATATATTTATATATATATTTATATATATATTTATATATATATATAATTGGATATATATTTATCACTTGATTTTTTTTTCACAGTTCTTCCTACTGAAAAAATAATTGGAACATATGTTGTCTTTTATCTTTGGAGATACATATACATATATACACACACATATATATCTCTGATAATAAAATATCTGCTATACTACAAAATTATTTTAAACTAAATATAAATAAAGTATAATGTTAAAAAGCAAATAGAAGATTTGAAAGATTAATAAAAAAATTATGGATGAATATGAACTAAATACCAGATGTAGCATTTAACAGGAGGGGGTAGGGGAATGAGAAAAGTAAAAAGGTATTATCACAGAAGGACAAAGAAGGTTATACGTTTTTAAAGGAAAAATGTTAACACTAAAGAAAAACGAAAATCAGAAAGAATACATTTGAAGATACCTAGGTACCACAACAGAGATGACTATGTGTTTCAAAGCAAAAGGCACCAAATCTGAGAAAATATCCAAGGTCTCTGGCTCTACAACTGTAAATGCAATCTATTCTGTGTAGCACCTCAATGTTACGATATAATTCTTGACCATGAGCTGAAAGAACAGAATACTACTGCATGGAGTACATACAGTTCAGACTGTCCAGGAGCAAATTTACAAGCATGTGGCAACCAATCAGATATATTTTTTACCAATGACCTGGACTTCCAAGAAGTTTTTTTTTTTAATTACTCTTTAGTTCATAGTCTACCCAGATATGCCTAAGGAAACAGTCAAGAGAGACACAACAAACAAAAATTTCCTAGACATTCCATAGTTCTAGCCATGAAATCAGATTTACAACTCAGAAAATTAAAACATGTTAACTATAAACCTGTAAAATAACTGTGAGTTTCTAGAGATACTATATCCTGTACTTTCATTTTAATAATTTACTTTTTAATAAATATAACTCTCTCTCTTCTTGAACACTACATGTTAGTAATCTTAAACGTCTGACCAAAATCTTCCCTCTCCCTTCTTAATCACCATCTCAACTACTCTCTTCCCACTGATTCTCCTATGCATAGCTGTACATCCTTGAATTTATCAGTCAGCTTACCATCTTTTCTAGAAGACCTGAGCACTAATAACGTAGGAACAGTATCTTTTTTCTTTACTATATATGCACAGATCTGTATAATACACTTCAAAAAGTAGATCACTCAATAAATGTTTACTGAATTATATTTGTTGTTAAATGCCTCTCCTACTTTTCTAAAATTTTAAATATAGGAATATTAAAGTTATGTCTCAACAATGTAGTTTCTAAATGAAACGGACATAACTGCTACTTCTCTTTGCCTGAAGACTAATGTAGAGTTAATGTGGAGACAGGTCAGCAGAATTTGGCTCTGTTACAGATTTATTGGATAATCCAACTTTACACTTCCATATCTAAACAATAAGTGATAATCATAAAGGTGTATCTTCTTAGAAATTACTTCATTACTGACATTAATGCTGAAATGGAGTATGTATTTCCAAAACAATTATAAAAACTGCCATTTTCTAGGCATGAGGGTCACATAGTTCCAGCTTTCCTTTAAAAATGATTTTTTTTAATATTAAAGCTAACAACAACAATACTCCTGAATTTTATAAGATGAACATATACAAGGGGAATAAACAGTCTAATTTGGGGGAATGACCACGGACACTACATTAACATATATTTGAAAAAAATTTAAATCATAATTTTGCAAGCAGACTAATAATTTGGAAAGAAATATACTTCAAATATGTATTTCTTCCTGTTTCATTCTGGTCTTTAGCAACAAAAGAGACTACCTTTATACATTTTACAGGCTGCCTCCATTATGTAGGAAGAATTTTCATCTTTAGAGAATGTGTATCGTAAAGAAGTTTAAATCAAGCAAAACAAACTTCCACCAGAATTAATGTAAAATACTTTATCTTAAAAAAAACTCCATGCAAACATTTATCAATTCAGTTAAGAATGTTTTCAATTTATTGTTTTATATATTCTATACCCCTAGAAACCTGGACAATGGGAAACTTTAATTTACCTTCATAGAGAGCTCAAACTGCACCTAGCTAGATTTTCAGTGAGGATGTCTAGATCAGACTGTAATGCTAGAAGGGGTTCAAGCAGCTCATATATGAGGTGTGTGAAAAGGTCCAATCGTCTACACTCATCTTCCATTTGATGTCGTATCACTCACTATCCCCTGAATAACTGGCAAGCAACAGAACTTGTTTTAGGTTTTTTGCTCTGTTTTATTTTAAGGCATTAAACTAGGAAAATGCCGGCATTTTAGCTTACACTAGCCTCCAAAAGAGGAAAATCATTCTACTCCAGAGTTATCCGGAATGGGAAAACGTTTACACTCAGAAATAAACTGAAAGATTACTTTCTATTATGCAGAAAAAAAAACAGCTGACATTCTATCATATGTTTTTTTCTATTAACTGGTTTTCCTAATCAAGTGAATGAAGTCCAACCTGAGTTTTGGGACAAGCAAAGAGTTTACCAACAATTTTAAAGGTGAGAAGTAGGAACCAATAATTACAAATAATACCAACTTGAGAACAACCCAATTATTTGGGGGTAACATTATTAATAAGTCTCAGGTAAAAAGGTTCTTAAAGAGTGACCTATTAAAATGTCTCACTGATAAAAAACGGTAATATATTTTCTTTTTCTTAGATTAAATGTTCTGCTGTCCTACAGATAATGTATGGATTTAGCAAATTTGCTTCAAATAACTTGTGCATAACTAATCAAAAAATTACATAATTTTGGAAGGAAATAAAAAGTTATTAATTTATATTCACATTTGACACTAGCTAAAGAATTCTTGGATATGACTACTACTAAATTATATTAAATGTCTTATAATTTTAAATATTACAAAGTCAGAAACTTTTATATAATTTTGATTCTGATATATTATATTATCAAGATTTCAACTCTCCTTGCCAAAAGTAAAACTAAAAATTTCTCACAACTTACCTGTTATAATATCGACCTCCCATCATAAACTGATTGTTTGGTGTTGGACATATTTTAAATCGCTGAATATTTTCATTGGTCCGAAAATAAAGTGAATAGTCACCAGGAGTATTATCGGATGGCCTCACAAGAAAACTGCAGACTTGACCAACTATAAAAATTAAGCTGTTAGTTTTATTCCCTAATTATCAAATTAAAAAAGAAAAAGCGTTAAGTAGTACAATTACAAAATACATTCAAAAGTCAAAAACATATGTAAAATTTTCACCAGGAACTTTTGATTGTTTTGGTTTGGTTTTTTTTTTTGGCTGCACTGCACGGCTTGCAGGATTTAGTTCCCCGACCAGGGACTGAACCTAGATTTCATTGCCAGGGCAATGAAAGCGCCAAGTCCTAACCACTGGACCACCAGAGAATTCCTGAAACTTTTTTAAAATAAAGATAATTTTAAGGCAATTTCTTTTTGTATTTTCTGGTTTATGAGGCACAACCATCCATGACGTTGCTTGTCTTTATTACATAAAAATACAGGGCAGAAATGTGCAGCACTGACTTCTGGTTAATAAGTCTACACCTGTCATAACTTGGAAAGAATACTCTAACCACAGATGGGGTTACTGGCTAAAACTACTACATTCTGTTTGCAAAAGAAAAGTCTAAAAAAGTTAAAGTGAATTTTATTTAAGAACACTCTGTACTTAAGTAATGCTTCTGATTAAACATTAAAAAGTCATAACTATAATAAAATAGTACCAAAAGCTTACAAAAGTAGATTCAAAACAACTGAAATATTTGTGTACCTAATCAAAATCAATACACATGCACTATTTTTCATTTAATAGGCACGATCTTGAATAGTCATACAGAAGCAAATTATCATGTATTAAATATTTTCATATTAATTTTAGAGAAGTCTTTTTGACATCTGCAATTGGCAGTGACTTTTACCACTAAGATGCTTTTTTACCTTTTCTCTGTTTAAGTCCTAATGACAGAAAAGATCAGAACTTGATTGCTTTTAGGAAAGCACAATGAACACTTAGAATATCAGACGTCATTTTTATGTAAATTACTAATAGTTCCAATCATCTATCCAAGGCATTTACTACCAAGTAATTTCATGTTCAATACAAAAAATAAGAATTACTGCAAAACTGTGCATGCAAGTGCTTATGTGCTTTAGTGCTTATTTTTCCTGGGAGAAAATCATCAGACTCTTAAAAGAGCACATGACCGAAAGAAAATAAAAACTAACGTAAGGAAATTAAGTTTAGCTCTTTTTCAATTTACATGTCTAAAACAAGACTGAGTGCCTCAGGTATTTGGTGGTGCAAGTTCAAAATCATAAGTGTATATTCAAAATTCAGTAAATTCACTAAAATAAATATTTTGGTCCCACTTTGAAAGCAGGTAGCATGTCATTTTGGTTGAGCATTTGGTCTCTGTTACTACCATATAGAATTACCATGTTCTTTAATGAATTTTTAACCTATATCCCCACAATAAAATTGAATACTTCCTAAAACTGCCATACATCTTTCAAAAGAGCTAACTATTAATTACATTAAAGGCAATGACTTATGTCTTGAACAGTAACTCAGATAAGATCTTTAAATGATCAGTGGTTTATTCATCATATACATTGAACTCTGGTCATTTTTAAAGAACTAAGACTTCTAAATTACAGATTACTTATTAACTTCTCTCAAATCCTTCTAAAGTACGGTTTCCTGAAGAGATATTTGGTAACTAAATTAATTCAGTCTTAAATTTTAGTTAGGATAAGTGATAATGAAATAGTTTTTGTTTTAAATAATAAACCCACAGTACAATTCAATTTTTATTTTGCATATCTCTGTAACCACACAGTTTTAGGAAATGTTAAAATCAACATATTTTAAATAAGGCCCAATTTTATAATTCTACAAGTATACAAAGATAAATGCAAGAACATTTGCTGCACCTGAACAGCAAGAAAATGAAAACAACATGATATTCCTCTATAAGAGACTGATAATAAATTATGGTATTTGTACAATGGAAAGCTTATGGTCATTAAAAAGAATAATGAAAATTTATATATGCAGATACGGAATGATTTCCCAAAATACATCTTAACATGAAAAAAGTGTGTTGTATGTTCCTGTGAGAGCGTGTGGGGGGGTATGTGTAGCGGGGTAAGTAGGGGTGAGGAAGAAAGACAGACATGAAACTTCTGGAAAAAACACTCATCTGGCACTGCTTCTAAGGAAGAATACAGGGGCCTGGTGCAGAAGGAAAACACACTGCACTGAATTTTATACTGCATGTTTTCAACTAAAGAACACCCAAAACCAAGAACAGCAATTTATCTATGCTGGGCAAGAAATTACAATATACATAAATATCAAATGAATGCTAAAGGCAAAATACATGATAAATGGTTGGTTCACTTTTTTATTCTTTTTAAATAACAACATTAGAAAAGGAAAGTGAATATATAAATACCTGTCATTAGTAAATTATAAGCTTCTTGTTTGGAAATTTTCCCATGGAACCATCTTGAAAAAAGAATATATTAAATATGTAAATCAAAAGTCTTTTTTGCTGTTATACCATCAAAACTAAACAACTAACACAAGTTTAATTCAAGCTGACATAATGAAATAAATGCAATGCAATTGATCAAATGACCTCATTCCTTTTACATTTGTTACTACACTTTGTAAACATGCCTAAGTTCAACAAAATATAGAAAAATTAGGGACTATCTATTATTAACTACAATTTCCATATTGATTACCAATACAAAAACAGCAATGATTTTAATTCTGATAATGACAAATTGTTAAGCTTACATCATAGCTAGCATTCTTTTTTCTTTTTATTAGGAGGGGGAGTGGTAGAGGTAGAGCCTACCAGAACTGCCCGGAAAAAAAATTAGTGGATTAATTTTTCTCATACTTCTCTCAAAGTGAATTTCTCTATAAGTTCTCTCTTCAAATCAACATGGTTGATTCATACTTTACTGAAAGCCAGAAAATAAGACTGAATGATGAGAAATAATAGATACCAACATCAAGAACTGAAAGAAAAGAATGACTTAGTATTACTAATTCTATTTGAGCTAATGGCCTATCATATCAGATTGCTAGAATATTTAATGTTCTGCATACTTAAAATAAGCCTTTAGAAATTATTATAAAAGGCATTATAGTCAAAATCTACTGCATATAATAACTAAAGTATTTAAATAATTTACCTTAAAATGATAGATCTGTTTTAAAAAATTAATTACTAGTAATTACTTAAAATCTCTCATCTGAAGGACTATTATCTATCTTGCTGATTAAGACGTGTTATATGTTAATACCAAGCTGACAACTCTAGATTACCTCTCTACCACTTTGCCATATATTCTTAGGGTCTATAATTATTTTTAATTGTGGCTTAAAGAACAAGTTGGAAAGTAAAAATACTACAAGACTAAAATATATAAATGCCCTAAAATCCAATGTTACAGGTTTAGAGGCTGTTCATACTGTTTTAAATTATCCATATTATTACTGGTCAGAGTATAAAATATAACTGAATTTTTAAATTTTCACATGAATAAAATGTTAAACTTTTACTTTCTCTCTTTAACTTTATTCCAACCCTTAACTCACTAATTCAGATTTCCTGAGGCTCATAAAGCTAATTATGAATCATTTAAAACAAGTATACAATAACTGGAGCAGTCCAGGCTGCCTTAAAAGGCAGTAAAGTGCCATCCTGCGTTCAAACACAGCTGAAATGACCATTTACTACAAATGCTAAAACAACATTTCTATATTCTAGTAGACAGTTGATTAGATGACCTCGAAGGCCCATTCTATATTTCTCTATAGCTAGAATAAAGGAGAAAAGGGGAATCTGAAAGGGGGAGGGGGCAAAAAATAGCGTTTAGAGAACAAATTGGCAATACTGCTTTCTGAAAGGATTGGATCTGAGTTTCCTCATTCAGGCATTTATTACCACATGTAAAATGAGTATATTTCAAGCACATGGTTTGTATCAATAATAGAAAAATGAGACTGTGACCTTAGGAAGTCCCCATTCTAGTAAGAAAAAGGAACATAAATACTGTATAACTATAAAAAGAATGTAGAAAATATAACAAAGCGCAGTGATAGGTACATGCTGAGGGCATTTTTAGAATAACAGAGAAGGGCAACCAATTCTGTAGGGTGTATAAGGGGGAAGATAACAGAAGACTTCTTGGGAAGAGTGATAAATAGGTTAAGTCTCTAAGTAAGAATAGGCACTAACCAAACACAATGGAGGGGAATTCTGGCCTAGGAAGTAGCTTGAGCGAAGGAGAAAAACAGTACTGAGCATTTGAAGATCTACAAGCCGGAGAGTAGAATATAAAACTAGAAATGACAAGAGATAGGGCTTATAAAGGACACAAGACCTGGATCAGATCTTTTCAGTCTCTGCTAAGGTAAAGAGAATCAGGCAAGAATTTTAAGTGAGAAAGTAATACAGTCAGACACATGTTTTAGGTAGATTATTCTAGCTGTTAGAAGAAAGGATTTGAGGAGACTAAAGTGTCAAGCAAGACCAACTTAGAGGTTATTGCTACATCAAAGTCCTAGTACGAGATGAAAAGGGCCTGAACTAGAATATGGTTGCTTAAGACTGAGAAGAAGGCACACATTCAAGACATATTTTAGAAGATAAAAACAGCAGGACTTGGTACTTGTGTCATGGAAATATGGAGCTGAAAAGGAACACAGCTAAAATTATACCATCTATTTAGTCTGAAAAGGCACTCGGGGATGTTACTGAGGATGTTTCACTGCCAGTCAACACCTTAAGAAATCAGAAGGAGCTGACAAATACATAAAATAAACCAACAATGCAAATTTAGCTTATGCTAAATACCAAATAAGTTGAAAACTATAAAGTTCAGAATACGGAATGATCACAAATGTATTAAATTTTAATTTCCCAGTGAAACTGGGATTTATACCTTTTAAGAAAACTGGATATAGCTTTAAATGTTTATTGGTATTTGACCTCTCTTTTTTTTTCTTTTCTTTTTAAAAAGAATTTATGGTATTATTTTAAATAGGGATAAAAATATAGATTTCTTGCTTCTCTTGAAAATCAGGAGGCTTTCATAACACTAGACTCACACACATTTACATCAGTTAGACCAGTCACCTCACTGCCAGCAAACACTGTCTAGTTTTTGACTTCCTGCAGTCTTCTGTGATACAAACAGTAAATGTTAGTTTCCATTTACTACCACACTTGCAGTGTTATTTTCTTACAGTAGCCAAACATTTCCATGTTCCTTGATCGCTATCAAAGTGGGAAAATAAGAAAGATCAAGATTATTGTAATTTGAGAAAAATGGGAATATATACACCTGACCCAGTTCATTTGCTTACATTATCTGTATGCCTCCTCCAAACATTAATTAGAATTTGCAACTCCTCACATAGGTAGTGAGAAGACTTCAAACTAGTACTATCAACAAAGTACAGTCTCACTGATGAAGCCTACTTTGCAGCTGCACAGAACAATAAGGAAAATGAACTCAGAAAATCTCATATGTTCCACTTAAGAAAGGGTGGGAACTAAATTAGATGACTGAAAGTGGAGTATTCAGTTTGTTTTCATGTTCTAATGGTTAGAATTCAGAATAAGCAAACACTCGAGAGGCAAGCCTTAAATTCCATCCATAATTGCCGACAGGAAGGAAAGAAAAAATATTCCACTGAAAACATATTAGATGAACAGTTTATTAAAATAATATGAGTAAAACAGAATTTGGATTAAGAGTTAAGCCCTTTAGATACAGGGAGGGGGAAGGGTAAACTGGGACGAAGTGAGAGAGTAGCATTGACATATATACACTACCAAATGTAAAATAGATAGCTAGTGGGAAGCAGCTGCATAGCACAGGGAGATCAGCTCGGTGCTTTGTGACCATCTAGAGGGGTGGGATAGGGAGGGTGAGAGGGAGATGCAAGAGGGAAGGGATATGGGGATATATGTATACATATAGCTGATTCGCTTTGTTATACAGCAGAAACTAACACACCATTGTAAAGCAATTATACTCCAATAAAGATGTTAAAAAAGAAAAGAAAAAGAAAAAAAAATTTTTTTGAAGTTAAGCCCTTTAAAAGAAAACATATACAAATAAATATCAAGAGGGATGAGAAGGACACTAAAAAATATCTTCAAGGACATTAATAAAATTAGAGCAAAGCTGAAACACCATGTGGAGTGATCTCCCATAAAAGCAACTAATAACTTCTGGAATATAAGAGAAAAATGTAGCAAACAGTAGGAATATAAAATAAGAATGTGGCAAGTAGTAGGTGTAGTAATACCTGGTCTTTGAATTAGCCCTATTACTTAAAATCAGCCTGAAAAAATTATGAAAATAAAGTCCTTGCAGAATCTTATTAATATGGTAAAGAACCATAATTTGGGGGAAAAGCTCTCTGACTTTAAAAAAACAAAACAAAAACTGAACCATAAAGTACATAAAAGATAATGGCAATAAAAACAAGAAACACTATGAATAAATCAATAAGAAAACCAAAAAAATGTGAGGAATTATGACATTCATAATGTTATTAATGTACTGTTTATCAAAAAGTCTTTAGTTTGGTGATATAAGAGTTATATGTAGGTATAAGCCACCTTCATTATCACTAGGTCCTTAAGAAAATAGTTAGAAATCAACTCAAGCCAAATAAAAAAAAATGTTTAAGTCAGCTCAAGAAGTATCAATTTTCTTTTAAAATATTTTTAGATCAAAGTTTTCCAATTAGTAAGTTTACAATATATTTTTTTCCCCTTTAATAGTTAACACAGACTTACATTTTGCCTTCATGTGGATCTTCTTCCCGGCCCTAAAGGGAAAGACATTAAGACAGTTTTTATGTAATTATTAATATATTTTAATTAAAATTAATAAAATCTTATCTTAAAACATATCTACACCCTGACCTTCATATTTATTTATGTACATACAAGAAAAGGTGTTTCTATTCATGAAAGGTCTTTCCAAAACTCTCCCCCTTAGTCCTCTTCTCTCTTTGTTGTGATTACGCTAATCCAGGCCCTTCTCCTCTCTTTTCTTAAACTATTAACAACAGCCAACTAGTATAATTATCTCTGTGCCCCATCCCACCCCACCACTCCAATCTGGATTCATCAGTTTCAACTGCAACTTTGCCCTGCATTAAGAAACACCAAACCAAACCAAACAAAAATAAACAAATTTTAAAAACCAGACCTTTAGTACCTCTCTACTGCCCACAAACTCCTCAGTTTACAACCAGAATTCTTTACCAAATGACTCAAGTCTACGTTTCCTGTCTCATACTACCATTTCTCTTTAGGTATCTATACCACGGTCACTCATAAACTACTTCTTTGCTAATCTACATTTTCCCACCACTGTAGCTTGCTCTTTTTTACTTAGAATGTCCTTTCCACTCACTACTTCCTACCTGTTAGTTAAAATCTAAACCATCTAGGCAGGATCTATCTCAAACACTACCTCCTCAGTAAGACACTGAGTCCCTAAAACATAAACATGAAGTTTTACTCTGAATAGAAAAGACATCCTTCTTTTTTCATCTTTTGAACTTTACCCTACTCTATTTAATATTGCCATTATTTAAGATATACTAGGTGATATTCATTCCATTATCATGGCTATAAGCATCTTAAGACCTGAGCCATTTTTTGTTAACACTGACTACCACAACCACTAGCACAACGCTTGGCACATAATTTTCACTGAATATCTGTTGAATTGTAGTCCTAGTACCCAGCACAGTACCTGGCATCAAGTTTCCACTGAATAACGAAGGAAAGGGTAGAAAAATGAACTAAGTACACATGGATTTACTTCTCTAAATTTGGTCCTCACTCAAATATCAAATATCTAACCAAATTAAAATCAAACACTTGCTAAATGCCTTCTATATTACAAAATGCTAAAAGCAAATTACATAAAAACAAAATGCATTATCCCTGCCCAAAAGGCGTTAATCTCTATATAAGAGGTTTACAGAATAAATTAATTTTAAATGTAATGGGTTATAAAGTTAACAAGGTGCTATGGAAACACACGAGGAAACAACTTAGCCTAAGAAAGGGTGTAAAAAAAGGGGCAACATCTGAGCCGAATTGATAGATGAATCAAATTTTACAAAGCAGTTTAGCAGGGCAGGAGTGTCAAGGAAGAGGGAAAAGAATAGGCATAGAGACATCCATACATTCAACAAACATTTACTGAATGCCTGCTAATGCCAGACATTATTCTAGGCAACAGGGACACACTGAATCAGAGACAAAAATCCTCACAGAGCTTACATTCTGGAATTAAGACATAATATAGTACACAAATATGCTTGGAGAACAGTAATGAAAATTAGAATTTCAGGGTGGGAACTTCCTTAAATCCATCCAGCAACCAAATGTCTGAAATCTAGACAATCTCCAAATGGCTCTCCAATCTACAAGGATTCACTATGTTTCAGTGAAGACCATTATGAAAAATTATTCTAAATACTGAAGTAAAAACTGTTTATAATTCTAACCTGGAACCATTCCACTACTAATTCAAAGTATGACCATATTCATTTTTAACAGCCACATCACATTGTTCACTCACACTGAGTTGTTAACTTGTTCTCCTTTTTTTTTCTTTCCTTGTATGTTAGGTCATGTCTCCTTATCTTAAACTGGGCTTTTGTTTTCTTTTTTCCCCTATATTCAATGGATAACTTTCACTTATCCTTATTAAAATTTATCTTGTTAAATTTGACCCAGAGTTCCAAGAGCTTGAGAGAAAAGTTCAACTACACCTCAATTCCTTTAAATAATCAGAATAATGGGAGTAGGGGGGTTACAGCAGAAAGAAAATCCAACATACTACTAAGAAACTTTGTAGTAAAACTAATGTAGATGTTAAGATTCTTCAGTTTGAACACTTCCTGTCCATACAGAATAAATATCACTCTTGCTGTAGAGTACAGAATTCTAATCTAGGAATTAGTTCTAATCCCAGCTCTTCCACTAAGTAACTATGTGACTATGAGTATGGAACGTATCATACCATTTCCTCAACTCCTCCCACTTTTCCTCAGTATGTTTTACTGCTACATATCAAGATCTGGCTGCCAGAATAGGCAGACAAGAGAATTAATAGCAAAGAAAAATATTCTCCACTGCCGTCCTCCTGGAACAACAATCAGAGCACACATTTCAGCATATTACCAAGTTCAAGGCATAATTTAAAAACAGTCACTCTGAGGGTTGTAAAAAATAACAGACAACCATTCCATCCTGCTGGACAAATCCAAAAGAGAAGAGTGAATTCCAAAACTATAATACAATGTTTAATATGTTTCAGTGATACTCAATACTGTATCTGAAATGCATATGCCGCTTGAACGCTGATCTGTATCTAAAAATGCACAAACACGATTATATATAGTGTCTAAGACTACTGATAATGTATTTTGTGATGACATTGAAAACAAGGGAAATATTCAAAATATAGAACCATGTGATAATATATGTGTAATATAACTCCATTTTTCCAAGGTTACTAGAAAATTATACATATATTTGGGAGATAAAGAGTTTGAAAGCAAACGTGCAACCATTTGAGATTCCATGATCAGTTGGACATAACATCATTTATAAGGAAGACCAAGAAGACAAAAAGGGATACAAATAAGCACACATGTTAATACATTTTTAATTCTTAGAAACTCATGAAAACATCCTGAAAATTGGCAACCACAGATTAAAACATGCTAGCTTGGTTGCGCTATTTACAAATAAATAGCATTACCAACAGTAAATACGTTTTAATGAAAAATTACTTGTACTTATGAATTGAGGTTTTTCATAAAAGAAATATATCCATAGCTAATTTCCCTGATTATGGACAAGTTCCAAAATTTAAAAAGTATTTAGAATTCTGAGAAGGAGAAGAAAAGAACAAAACTTACCACCTCTTCTACTAGGTCTTCAACAATAAGACCTTGTTCATCTGTTCTTAGATTTGTAACCCACATCCATCCATCTTCTAACTCGTTATGAACAATGAACATATCTCCCTTTAAGAAACTGAAAATAGCAATTATGAAGTTATTAAAATTAAATAAAATTTTTAAACATGGAAATTTAATTGATTATGTACCACCTCACAGAGATAATATGATACTGGAAAATGCAAGGGGTTAAAGTCAAATACTCTAGATTTTTGTCCTGTTTCTGTCATCATCTACATGTAAAAGACACTTATCTGAATCTTAATTTCGACATGCATAAAATGGGTTTAATAACGGTACCTATACTATCTGTATCACTGGATTATTGTTAGAGATTCAAACTGGAATTTATGTAAACAGTAATTATACATATATTACAGGCTTTGGGGTATAACTACAAGAAAACTGAACTTTAAAATTTAAGTTTCAATGTTACTACTCTTTCAGATATAGGTTAGACATAAAATTATAAACATAAACTAAATATTAACTCATTCCACATATACAAGATAAGGTTACTTTAGAAGAAGTTTATTTTAAATAAGCATAATTAGCCTTATCACACAGATGCTTATGAGAGTAACATTTTTCTCATAAAAAACATTAGGGTTTATTTACTTCACTCAGCTATCCATGGTCCAACAAGTATAGCATTCTTTCTCCGAAAGTGGTACCAAGGGGTATACGTAATGAGAATGCATGCATGTTTTTGCTGTTACCAATACCTGAGTGGAGGGATGTATACACAATCTAGTTTCTTTTCATTGGAATCTAGATGTTTTCAACCTCCACACAATCACAGGATTAAAAAGTTGTTGATGTATGTCATCAATATAAAACCATCAGTAATTCCTTGAACTTTTCCTTTTAGGCTTGAACAAATGCCTTTGAGTGCTTAAGGTTTTAAGATTGACTGGATGCTACCATTGACCCTGTATCTATATCTCTATCTGTAATATATACGTATTTTTAAAATAAATTTTCCTTTAAGTCTTAATATTCACAAACCAAAGTTATAGTAAGTAAATCTCTTCTCATACCTTTGAAAACTTTGTTTTTCTCTAAAATATCTGAAGCTTCACTGTTACTTGGACCAGTTCAAGGATAAAAACTTGTACACGATGCTTCAGATGCACTCTTTTTGAATAAGCACAGAATACTGCATTCTACCTTGATTCTACAACTCTTAACAATGACCAGTATTTCACTAGCTGAAAGGGGGCAGACATTACCACTTAGCCAAGTATAAATTGTTCCTTTCCGGAACCAACCACCTAAATAAATACATTAAAATAGAAGTCAGAGAAATGAGAAATGACAAGTTTCATTTTTGGTCAAAAGCAGTCTTAAGATTTTTTTTTTTAAATTTTGACTTGTTTCTATACTACAAACTTTTTATGATGCAAAAAACAAAAACATGAAAAATAAAAAGCTTACTGGTAGAAACATCATAATCCTAAGATTAATTATGCATTATTTTGCATTTTTCCTCAAAATAGGTTAAAGTGCTTTATTAAATCTCATTAATCTTCAGATGTTTTTACTTTTAAAAAAAACAAAACACTTCTCAGGTATATATAAATTTAAAAAGACTCATAACTTCATACATATTTCTGTCATTCTAATTCTTGTTTAAATTTTCATCTTCCTAGATCAGAAGTACTCAATTTTTGGAAGGTCTCTCAGGACCCCTTCACAGTTTTAAAAAGTGATACCCTAACAGGCTTTCATTTATTCACTTGGATTATATCTATTGATAATTACCATATTAGAATTTAAAATGTAAATGTTTAAAAATATTTATTAATTCCTTTTAAAATAATAATATACCCTATTAACATGGTAACATAAAAAATGAAAAATAATTATAATCTTTACAAGTTTAATAAGAATGTTATTGCCTTGCATTTTTGCAAATCTCATGTCTGGCTTAACTGAAAACTGTTGGATTCTCATATCCATTTCTTTATTCAATCTGTTGCTATATGGTTTTTTTGCTTAAAGTATATGAGGAAAATCTGGCTTTATACAAATATGTAGTTGTGAAAGGGATGAGTATTTTAATAGCCTCTCAGATAATTATAGATATTCTATTACATTAACCCCAAAACTTGACTAGTGGTACTTTCTTGGAGGTTGGTTGTAATGTGGAATCTAAAACTATGTATCAATGAACTTTCTGTACCATTCTAATAACCTCTATTGGTCTATTTTGCACTGTGAATGGATCTTTTACCCAGCCATAATTTTGTAACATCATGCATTGATCATTTAGAAAATACTGGTTCACTGAGCTATGCAGATCATCCAGATATAAACACATTATACAGTATCAAAACATCACATTCTTCAATATCAGCACCATTTCATCAGAAAAGTCATTAAGTATCTAGGAAGCTGTCAAACTCCTGATGGCAAATATAGGGTCTCCAAAATACTAATTTTTCCTCGAAAGCTCAAATTGTCATTGGCAACAAATACTGCCAGTTATTTCCCTTCAAGTAACAGATTCACTTTGTTCTTTAAAAAAATTAAAAAGTCAGATATTCAAGTCTGAATAACCATAATTTGCCTGTCAGTCATTCTCCTTAGTGAAAATGATGTGCACAAAAAAAAAAAGCAGCTAGTTCGGCTCTCAAAGCACCTCTTTTCCTCAAGACATTTGAACTGTGGTACACGGTAGAGGTGCTTTATGAGTATGTCCCATTTCATCACAAAGATATTAAAAAGATGTGTAGCCATAGGTTGAGATTTATAAAACAAATATTTTTTCTTGCCTCACCAGGAACATTCGTAAGCGAAACTGGCTTTTTTTGTTTAACTGCAAGCATGGGGCAGTGAAAAACGATATACGTTTGTTACCACTGCCTTGATTTGTGCTAAGACACCAGCAGTTTTACTATCCATGGCTTCTGAACCATCATGTAAATGTCACAGTGAAAAAGGCAAATTATGTCTTAGTATTATTATAAAAATAGTTTTGATATTATGAATCATCTGAATGGATCTCAAGGATCCCCAGGGTTACATGTATCACACTTTGAGAGCTGCTGTCCTAGATGATCCCACTGGGAATTTACAAATTACCCAAAATTCCCGAATTTGCAGTTCAGTGCTGTTTTTCTTTCCCTTCTCTTCCTTTCACTGGCTTTTCCAGCTTAGATCACAAAAAAAGGTGTGCCAATAAGAACTAAATGAGAAGTTATTTTGAGGACAATCATATAAAAATGGAATGCCTACTTGGAGATTTCAGATAGTTGAATCTTTGTTTTTTAAAATACCATATTTCCAGAAATTTTTAGTACCTTCCAAAAGTTATCACTACATTTTAAATACTGCTGTTGATTTCAATGAGAAGCTGTAAACTCAGAATCAGTAATTATTCAAAGTAGCCTTAACATTTTACCAATAATAAACAAATTTTCTATCAGAAAGCTAAACTTATAGAAAGATACAGATAATTTGATAATAATTATCCAATTATATAATAAATCAAATTCTATAGAAATAATAAAAACAAATTATATATAAGAACTCTCCTTACTTTGTCACAGATAGTCTAATGAAAGCTAAGTTATTTCTCCTGTCATCTTCACTGTGGCCTCTCTGATCCAAATTCACAGTCTGAACAGATAAGCCAACACAGGGGGACAGGAACAATGGACTTAATATTAAGGGCATGCTTTGCTGGATGCTATTTCCTCAATTTCCAAAACCTTCCTAGTCCAAGAGCAACAAATTTTCAGTCTTTCAAATGCCTGTTTCAAATGCCTATAAACGAGATTATATCATAAAATACCTTATTTCATCAGTGTCTGGTACTTTTGTGTAAGGGAGAATGGCTCGAACACGCCTTCTATCTTCTACTGGCTAGAAACCATAAAAAAAATTGATTTACAAAAGATAACCTTTCTATGTCAAAGTCAAATTGGGTATGTCCACACAAAGTTAAAGCCAGTAAAACTCCACATTATAAATTCTGTAGGATCATTCAAACTATTTTTTACTGAAGCTCTGAATACCCAAACTCTGGAAATGCTCATCTTGTTTTGTTGTTGTTTGTACAGAAATTCTTTTAACAGTATAACCAATATGTTTTTAATGAGGTAATATGAGTTATCATTTAATCTTAAATACACTACGCAACATATAAAGTAACCTTTCTCCAATGATGCAGAAGACATTTCAGAATCTTGCAGCAACTTCAGCATTAGCACTATGATATCAGTAATTACTCCTCATTCATTCAGAAATATTTGTTAGGGTATCACCATACAGTACGATAAAAAAAATCTAGTAACTTAAATACAAAGTAACAGAAAAATTACTCTTTCTTTTTTTAAAGAAGTTGCCAGTTATGCTCTGACACTACAACCAGAATTAAATCTTGAATTATATTACAATAAACGTCACGAGAAACTGAACAAGAGCTAAACCCATTAGTAAAATGAAATAATAAAGTTTTGAAAGATATTTTACTTGCCTCTGGAGGTGCAACTGGATAAAGCAATTTTTCTCCTTTAAGCAAACAGGAAACATGACTGTAATAACCTATTAGGTCTGACAGAGAAGAAAAACGTCTTCCACCAATGTAGTAATCCCCACACATAGCAATAATCCTATTTGTACAGGAAAAAAAATACAGTAAAACAAAAACCTTTATAACCAATTTTTAAGACCAAGTTCCATGTAAATTATAAACCGATAATTTTCATACTTTTCCTTTATCTGCATCCTTATATTAAAATACCACTTATTAATACCTTCACCATATGCAAATTACTTGAGGTTATTATTTCTTTTGAAAAGATATATGTATGCATTTGATATGAAATACATTTCTGACTTATAAACCTCAATTACATAAATCATTAAAATATTTATAAATCCATCCTCAGATAACTCTTCTTACTTTCCATATTTAAGACAAAATAGCAATTTTAATTAGTTTCCTTTGGCTAAGAGTAGTTTACAGATCTCTTGAAGTATTTACAGAGTATAATAATAATTTCACATTTTACACGTGATATGACAGTACTCTTAAAGTCTATTTTAAAATCTGAAAATTAAGGATATACAAACATTTTATCAGTTAACTTTACAGGCACTAGATAATTTTTTTCAATGGCTCCCATAAAAATGAAATCAAAGACAATAATATATGTAAATATATTGATACAAACTTTGATATCTGTACTTGAAAATCTAGATGCCTGTTTAATTGAAATGAATGCAGAGTTTCAGAACAGTGAAGCTAAAATGAATTAAACTGCACTCTTAAAATACTGTTTCTATATTTTCTGTTACTCTGTGGTCTGAAAGTATACATTTCCTTTCTTTCTGCTTTACCACTCAAAGTTTCTTTGTAATTCTTTATACTTTAAAAGTGATAACTACACTTATGATTAGCACAAAAAAGTCCAATAATACTGTTTTTTTAAAAAAAGTAAGCATTCAATAGTACCTACTCTAAATCACTTATTAAATCATTTAATAGAAAACACATTTCTTTCTCCATTATTTAAATGTCACTAAAGCAGGTATATTTATGAATACTACAGCAAAATAGCTACACTGTGTAGCCTCATAATAGGAATAAAGACTTACCTAAAATGGTTGACAACATTTGTCTGGCTAAGAAATGAAAGTACAAAGGACCCTGGCCTCCGATCACTCTCTCTTATAAGGTAACTGCCGGACTTCCCTGCCTGCCTGAGGCGTTCTTCTGCTATAGTTCTATCAAGTTTTCCATGATACCACCTAAGAAAAAAGGTTAAGAGATTAGAATAAAAATAGCAACCATAAAATTACTACTGGCAGTTGAAAAACATACTACTACAGATTTTACATACCTACATGTAACTTAGACATTTACATTTTACTCTGAACCAGTCATTCCAATTTTAACTCAATTGTTTTTAATTTCTCAGTCTCTCAAAAATAATTCATTTACTCAGTTTTTAATCTGTTCGATAAGCTCAGGTCTAATCACCTCACATATTCACCTCATCTATTTCTGCCCATCTCTCTACCTCCAGGACTGTCTACCTGTTCAAGATAAAAACATTTATTACAATCTAATGCCTACCTAGAAAAATAAGAGTAAGATGGACAAATGGAAACAAATGGTTCATTTACTACCTCTCTATATACTAAGGAACCAAGACTTGATATAACAAGGCACATGGTACCTGGGAGAAAATAAAACTTTATTCCATTTTAATGTTTGTGCCCTAAAATAGAAAAACAGAATGACACTGTCTAAAGGCTGCTATTCTAATTTCCTATTTCAATATGAAGCTGATTATTCTCTTTTGTCTTAAGATGATCCATTCCATAACCACGCATTTGAACTCTTCACATTTATTTAACAAACTTGTGGGAAATACTGGGTTGGCCAAAAAGTTCGTTTGGTTTCCCCATAACATCTTACAGAAAAACCCAAACGAACTTTTTGGCCAAACCAATAAATAATACCTTTGTCCCTTTAACTTTCCTGCTCTCAATTTAACTATCTTCTACCTACCATACTACTAGATGATTTGCTTAAATGACTGGCTATACCATGGCTACAACTCTAGCATTATCCATACTACCAATCTATGCCTATAAAAGCCACGTGGATTGATATAAACAGAAGCACACTTAGAAACAGACTGGAATTTTCATATGGTCATGGTAACAAATCTACAAAGTAATTGTTATGAAATATTTTTACACTTTCCTTTGGTACTTGTCTAACTTGAAACATTCAGAGGAAAACAATAAACACTCATATTACATTGATATACTTAAATATCTAGCCATAAGTTGACAGTCAAGACTATAATAGAACTATGACTATTTTTGTAAGATTGCTGTAATGAAAGCTTACATTGACTCCTTAGTTTATTTAAAAAAAAAAAAAACTTAGAACTTCCCCAAAGAATTATTGTTAATTTTCTTCTAAAACCCAACCCATTTATTTGACAGTTTGTGTATAAGACAGAAATAAAATAAATGATGAAAAACAATCATGAAGCTTCAGTATAACTCAATAGAAAAAAACATAATTGTAAACCATTAGTATTAGAGGAAGAAAGGAAAGAACAATAAACATTGCATTCTTCTAGAATTCTAGTCTTAGTTCAACCACTGTCTTTGAGGCTACTGACAAGCAAATTTAGCTTTTAAGAGCTGTTTGTAGTTTTTTTTTTTTAATTCTAATAGGAAAAGCTTGGACCAATGATCATTAAAAGTTCCTTGAAGAGCTAAAATTTAATGGTAGATGATCAGGACAATATTTTGAAATTCTAGGCTAGAAGTTTATTTAACTGAAAATATATGGGACAACCTTGGAATGTGAACCTGGTACATTCCTTATTACCTTAAGTAGTGGAGCTAACCCACAGAGCAGATTTACACATTGAACAAAGACAAAATGAAGGACAATTTTAAACAAAGTACCTATTTTTGTATACTTGTTAAATTTCTGGTGTGTCAAAATGTCAAGATTAAAAGATTTTTTAATCTCATTCATCTTGTGAACTCACCATAAGACGATACACAAAGGTGCATGAGGCATTACACAATAGCTAATTTATAATAAATACCTGACTAAAGACTTTTATATATTTGTGATTTTCAGTTTTTACATCTATGTACTTTCTATAAGATTCTGGCATTAAAACAGGTATTCAGTTCAAGACAGAGACATAAATCTTAATAAACAACTTTGTTTCCTGATTATTAGTAATTCCTTTTATGCCAAAAACTCTTAAGTTTTGAACACATTAGGAAAAACATGTCAATTCTTGATTATGACTATAAACTGAAATTAAATTATCCAATAATAGGCTTATGAGCACATATGTAGTTGAGCGTGATCCTCAAAACATTCCATTGTTACAAGTCTCCAGCTGTTCTAGGAAAAAACTGAATGGTGTTAATCAAAACTTAGAATTTCTTGAATTATCTTTATTGTTCACTTCAAATTATCAAGGTGAATCATACTAACAAGAATATTTTAAATATCTGCACAGATAGGATGGCTGCACTGATACCTCCTAAACGTCTTCAGAAGAGATTAAGCTGACTGGTGAGACTAGGACTTATCAGAAACCTCCATAATTATGGTCAAGTCTCTATACTTTGTACCTCATTACTATCACTTGTAAAGAAAGGGAACATAATCTCCATCTCAACCTTAGAACACATTAAATATTTGTCCTAAACTCCTTCAAAGAAAAACAAAACTGAAAAAGCACTATATAGGCTGTATAGTATAATGGTTAAGAGTAAAGACTCCAGAGTCACTGCTTGTGTTTGAATCCTAGCTCTGCCACTTGGCTGTACAAATATGGGCAAATTTCTTAATTTCTTAGCCTGAGTTTCCTCATCTAAAAATGGCACATAATAACAGTACCTGCTTCATAGAAGGCTGTGTGATATTATTATAAATGAACTAATACATATAAAATTATATATATATAAATTATATACAGTATACACAGACTATGGGGCTAATTCAGCTTCATCAATGAAAATATCAAATTTTATACTGTTGCATAATGGATGATTAGATCACCTAAGCCTCTGTTATCTTCCTACCTTCCAGTCCTGTTTACACTGCATCTAATTTTGGGAAGAGAACAGGAGAAACCAATCTTCATTTCTGCTAAAACACTGATTTTTAAGAGGAAATTTCTTTTTCCAAAGCGCCTTTTTTGAACAGTAACAGATCATACACATTAATTGACATTGGAAGCTCCAAAGTATTCATAAACTAGAAATTCTTCCACTTCTGGCAATTCTAAAAGGAAACCCTCAAATAGCCCCACTCTTTCCCCAATGTGGATATATTCTTTGGAGGAATGGCAAAGACAATATGCATTTGAGATACTGTGACTTAAATCTGCCTAAATTAATAATAAAATATCTAATGTTCTATTTAAAAGTAAACTATCCCTCTCTCTTGTTCTCTCTGTCTTTCAAGGAAGATTGGGAAAAGAAACAGCAGGAAATTTAAGAAGTAAATACATTTTTCTCAGCTAGTTTTGCAATTTTTGGTTGTGAAATCTTACAGACAGATACGGAGTCTCTTGATTTCATTTTCTTAGACACTATACAATCAGTTTATCTAAAATAAAACATCCAAGATGAAACTACGTATTAAGTAAGTCAACAAGAAAAGAGACAAGTTGGACGAGCTGCAGGAATCATTTTACTTTTAAATTTGGAATCACATGAATGTTTTTATAAACATGTTGTACATTGGTGCAGTATATTTAAGGGGCCTTGGGAGGACCTTTGTGTTTTTTAGTCTCTCCCAATCAGGTAGAATAATATAGAAATCTATAAAATGAGAAAACAACCTGGTGTGAATATAGACAGATACAACTCAAACTACACAATTATTTAAAACTAACGTGACAATACTAAATGGAAACTGTCTACTACAGTAGAAAACAATTAAAATAGCACTACCATCAACAAGCTTCCTTTGTCTAAAAAGGAAACTAAATTGAAGTTCCCAGCAGATCACTTTTACTTTCCACTATGCTCTTCTTCCTAGTTATGTCACTGACAGGCACAGTAGTTCTCAGAGAGAAACGTAAGTGCAGAAATCTAATTGCCAAACAATCTCCTGTCACCTGAATTACCTGGAACTCTGTGTGCCTGATCATACCATGAACTTTTAAAGTTTTTCTGTAACTCTCAAAGATGTTAATCATATTTTCTCACACATGCTGTCCTTTCTGAAATTAAATTGGTTATTTCAGTCTGGTTAAGACATATACTAAAAACATTTGCTAAAACTACTATAAATCTCCTGAAACCTCCATATTTCTTTTTTTCTTTTTTTTTTTTTTTTTGCAGTATGTGGGCCTCTCACTGCTGCGGCCTCTCCCGTTGCGGAGCACAGCCTCCGGAGGTGCAGGCTCAGCGGCCATGGCTCACAGGCCCAGCCTCTCCGCGGCATGTGGGATCTTCCCGGACCAGGGCACGAACCTGTGTCCCCTGCATCGGCAGGCAGACTCTCAACCACTGCGCCACCAGGGAAGCCCTCCATATTTCTTTTTAACTAATATAGTCCCCACAGTCATACAGTCTGAGCTGGTGGTCAAGAAAAATAAACTGACTTTTTAAAGTGAAGGCAAAGTAAAGATACCTTATAGTAAATGATTTTATTGTCTTTTTCCCCCCCACGTTGTTATGCAGACAGGCTAAAATTTGGTCACTAGTAAATTCACCTGAACAACCACTGAACTAAGCATAAGAGGTGTAGTGCCCCTTAGACCAACTGCATTACTTAAGAAATATTCATGTGTATGTTTGACATCTTGAGTATATTTGTGTGTTCAGGCAAATAAGAAGTATGTGTGTATGTCTGTGTGTTTGTCTATGCATTTAGTTACATATCTCAGATCAAATTAGCTCAAGAAAAGAAACTGTTTTTCCTTTTGCCACAGGTAACATATTTACAGGGTCCAAAGAAGGTTTAAGTTCTGTGGGAGTATTTTTTAAAGAAACAACACTGTTACATGTCCATCCACGCAAAAATTCAGTTTACTGAAAGACTAATATACTAAAGGTGGGACCAACAACACAATGCTTATGCAATCAAAAGTTTATATTGGACTTCCCTGGTGGTCCAGTGGTTAAGACTTTGCCTTCCAATGCAGGGGTGCGGGTTCAATCCTTGGTAGGGGAGCTAAGATCCCACATGCCTCACAGGCGAAAAACCAAAACATAAAACAAAAGCAATATTGTAACAAATT